GTGAGTGTTGTTGGTGTTGACGTGGATGTGCTCACTTGTGGAACTGTTGCGGAGGTATCTTTCAAACAAAAATCAGAGTGTAGAATTAACCAACTGTTTGGCATTGTTTGTTATTCTCTACATCTAACTATGAGTGATTAATTATCAGTCGTGGTGATAGTAGCGTATTCAAAATGATTCCAGCTTCCCATACCTGTCACTAATCTGTTACCGAAAAATATGAGTACAAATAATAGTGTATGCTTTTCAATATTGAAGTGAGCATGTGTTCTATTTTTTCGGAAGTGATCCTCATATCGAATTCCCAAATTGCTGTCAAATTTTAAAATGAATTCCTATAATTTATGTAGCACACTTTGTGGTTCTCGGAATGCAGTGAACTTGTATATATTTGAATAGTGCTACATTGTTGAATTCGATCTACATGGTCTGAAGTTTCGTTGAGTGTAAGATTTATATTGTGACCACAATCAAATCTTTGTTAGACAACTAGTGGGAATCAGGAAGCACTGGACAATTGTTTTGTCCTAGTACGGACCTCTCCAACAGTAAACATCAACGAGTTCATCGACAATTGAACTCAAGACACTCAGTTGTTGAGACGAGCATTCAACATGTGGACCACTGAACCGGTTCACATTTCCAACTTCGGTCGATCACAGATATTACGCAACCATCAGCTTCCATGGTCTTCGTTTTACAATCACATTGCACTAGACACGATTTAACTGCATTCATCTCAACCTACTGGAATTCTAGCAACAAAACAGCAGTCCGTTTCCACCTACTTTTCATCTGTTCTCTGATTCAGGTCAATTCACAATATCAGCAACACTCAACAACCTCCACGAACAACCTCCCTATACTGTATGACTTTGTTAGGCCAGTAAACATATCAGTCTTATTCAGTTCTTCTTTATCTATTGAGTGAAGTGATCAGACCATGATAGAAAACGCCACTTATTCAAAACACTGTGAAATGATGGGTTAAAAGTAAATAAAGTGTTTCATTAATTTAGGTAAGAAAATTCAAAGTAACTGGAATATACACCGTAACAATGTGAGACCTTAAAATACACTAAAACACATTCTATTTAATATTGGTATTCATTACGAATCCACCAACAGATGGGTGGGTTTTCATTCAGTCGGTTTGTTTGACTAGCTACATTATAAGACAATTCTTCACCCTATTGTAAAAACATCACAAAACAAACCCGCTTTAACACTTTACTTCATTATGGAAAACAACATGCACATCAGCTGATATAACAGCAGAATAAAGATATTCTCCTTTACCACGGTATATACTAATCTACTATGATCATGAATCCTGTGTCTAGACTGTACGGCCACTAGACTAAATGCTTGGTTGATGCACTATAGACAGACTGGGATCACATTATTCTGGATACACGATTCGCGACCAAATACAGGAAACCAGAATATTGTCTAGGAAATGCTTTGTTCAACACAACTACAAACAGTCTACACTCAGTGACTTCAGAGTAGAAATCGATCATAGAAAAGAAATCACCTATTAAATAGAAAGTAAGCTGAGTGTCAGTCGACGCTCAACAACCCGTCACATTTTACTCTCAAAAGCAACACGTAACGAGCACATGGAAAAATCTGACAATTCGGTCGATTTATATAACTAATACAACCACAGTCATTGAGTGATCTATAAACAATAAAATGTTTTGCTCACTTGTGCCTACAGTACTTGATGTTGTGGTGTTAGTTGGAGCTGATGTTGTCCCCACAGACTCTGTCGGTTGACTCGAAAGTGTGGATGTCAGTGAAGTTTGATTACCAGTGAGTGTTGTTGGTGTTGACGTGGATGTGCTCACTTGTGGAACTGTTGCGGAGGTATCTTTCAAACAAAAATCAGAGTGTAGAATTAACCAACTGTTTGGCATTGTTTGTTATTCTCTACATCTAACTATGAGTGATTAATTATCAGTCGTGGTGATAGTAGCGTATTCAAAATGATTCCAGCTTCCCATACCTGTCACTAATCTGTTACCGAAAAATATGAGTACAAATAATAGTGTATGCTTTTCAATATTGGAGTGAGCATGTGTTCTATTTTTTCGGAAGTGATCCTCATATCGAATTCCCAAATTGCTGTCAAATTTTAAAATGAATTCCTATAATTTATGTAGCACACTTTGTGGTTCTCGGAATGCAGTGAACTTGTATAAATTTGAATAGTGCTACATTGTTGAATTCGATCTACATGGTCTGAAGTTTCGTTGAGTGTAAGATTTATATTGTGACCACAATCAAATCTTTGTTAGACAACTAGTGGGAATCAGGAAGCACTGGACAATTGTTTTGTCCTAGTACGGACCTCTCCAACAGTAAACATCAACGAGTTCATCGACAATTGAACTCAAGACACTCAGTTGTTGAGACGAGCATTCAACATGTGGACCACTGAACCGGTTCACATTTCCAACTTCGGTCGATCACAGATATTACGCAACCATCAGCTTCCATGGTCTTCGTTTTACAATCACATTGCACTAGACACGATTTAACTGCATTCATCTCAACCTACTGGAATTCTAGCAACAAAACAGCAGTCCGTTTCCACCTACTTTTCATCTGTTCTCTGATTCAGGTCAATTCACAATATCAGCAACACTCAACAACCTCCACGAACAACCTCCCTATACTGTATGACTTTGTTAGGCCAGTAAACATATCAGTCTTATTCAGTTCTTCTTTATCTATTGAGTGAAGTGATCAGACCATGATAGAAAACGCCACTTATTCAAAACACTGTGAAATGATGGGTTAAAAGTAAATAAAGTGTTTCATTAATTTAGGTAAGAAAATTCAAAGTAACTGGAATATACACCGTAACAATGTGAGACCTTAAAATACACTAAAACACATTCTATTTAATATTGGTATTCATTACGAATCCACCAACAGATGGGTGGGTTTTCATTCAGTCGGTTTGTTTGACTAGCTACATTATAAGACAATTCTTCACCCTATTGTAAAAACATCACAAAACAAACCCGCTTTAACACTTTACTTCATTATGGAAAACAACATGCACATCAGCTGATATAACAGCAGAATAAAGATATTCTCCTTTACCACGGTATATACTAATCTACTATGATCATGAATCCTGTGTCTAGACTGTACGGCCACTAGACTAAATGCTTGGTTGATGCACTATAGACAGACTGGGATCACATTATTCTGGATACACGATTCGCGACCAAATACAGGAAACCAGAATATTGTCTAGGAAATGCTTTGTTCAACACAACTACAAACAGTCTACACTCAGTGACTTCAGAGTAGAAATCGATCATAGAAAAGAAATCACCTATTAAATAGAAAGTAAGCTGAGTGTCAGTCGACGCTCAACAACCCGTCACATTTTACTCTCAAAAGCAACACGTAACGAGCACATGGAAAAATCTGACAATTCGGTCGATTTATATAACTAATACAACCACAGTCATTGAGTGATCTATAAACAATAAAATGTTTTGCTCACTTGTGCCTACAGTACTTGATGTTGTGGTGTTAGTTGGAGCTGATGTTGTCCCCACAGACTCTGTCGGTTGACTCGAAAGTGTGGATGTCAGTGAAGTTTGATTACCAGTGAGTGTTGTTGGTGTTGACGTGGATGTGCTCACTTGTGGAACTGTTGCGGAGGTATCTTTCAAACAAAAATCAGAGTGTAGAATTAACCAACTGTTTGGCATTGTTTGTTATTCTCTACATCTAACTATGAGTGATTAATTATCAGTCGTGGTGATAGTAGCGTATTCAAAATGATTCCAGCTTCCCATACCTGTCACTAATCTGTTACCGAAAAATATGAGTACAAATAATAGTGTATGCTTTTCAATATTGGAGTGAGCATGTGTTCTATTTTTTCGGAAGTGATCCTCATATCGAATTCCCAAATTGCTGTCAAATTTTAAAATGAATTCCTATAATTTATGTAGCACACTTTGTGGTTCTCGGAATGCAGTGAACTTGTATATATTTGAATAGTGCTACATTGTTGAATTCGATCTACATGGTCTGAAGTTTCGTTGAGTGTAAGATTTATATTGTGACCACAATCAAATCTTTGTTAGACAACTAGTGGGAATCAGGAAGCACTGGACAATTGTTTCGTCCTAGTACGGACCTCTCCAACAGTAAACATCAACGAGTTCATCGACAATTGAACTCAAGACACTCAGTTGTTGAGACGAGCATTCAACATGTGGACCACTGAACCGGTTCACATTTCCAACTTCGGTCGATCACAGATATTACGCAACCATCAGCTTCCATGGTCTTCGTTTTACAATCACATTGCACTAGACACGATTTAACTGCATTCATCTCAACCTACTGGAATTCTAGCAACAAAACAGCAGTCCGTTTCCACCTACTTTTCATCTGTTCTCTGATTCAGGTCAATTCACAATATCAGCAACACTCAACAACCTCCACGAACAACCTCCCTATACTGTATGACTTTGTTAGGCCTGTAAACATATCAGTCTTATTCAGTTCTTCTTTATCTATTGAGTGAAGTGATCAGACCATGATAGAAAACGCCACTTATTCAAAACACTGTGAAATGATGGGTTAAAAGTAAATAAAGTGTTTCATTAATTTAGGTAAGAAAATTCAAAGTAACTGGAATATACACCGTAACAATGTGAGACCTTAAAATACACTAAAACACATTCTATTTAATATTGGTATTCATTACGAATCCACCAACAGATGGGTGGGTTTTCATTCAGTCGGTTTGTTTGACTAGCTACATTATAAGACAATTCTTCACCCTATTGTAAAAACATCACGAAACAAACCTGCTGATGCCTTTACTTGTTTATGTGATTTTTTTTCTATTTGAAACCATCCTTTTGTTTTTAAATTTTCGTCATATCATGCATTCTTTCTTTGCGACATCTTGTTATTTATAATAGTAAGTTTTTTATTGATTTATAACATCTTATTCACTCACTTGCTGAGAATGTTGATCCATTGTTTGTTTGAGTGAATGTAATTGTTATTGTCGATTCCTGTGTATTATTTAATACTTCGGTTTGAGTTTGTGTACTGGTTTGCGAGGTCGATGATTCTGTTGTGTTATTAGATGAGATACCTATTTTGTGCATTGAAACAAACAGTTTACATTTTACATGTGTTTTACATTGTGCGAGTCAATATAGGCGTTGCATATATTTACATCCTGCTGGTCATCATATTCACACTCGTCCTCAAGCCATCAGTCGAGCCCACACTCCTTTACATTTTTACATGCAGACATTCAAACTGCATGCCTCATGCTCTTCTCAACTTGCATTTAGCCTGTGAGTGTTTTAACTATGCTATTTTTTAACCGTAGAGAAGTTGTGAATTTTACTTACTTGAATAGCATCATTCTTGTGGAAGTTTGATCTGATGCATACATGTAGGCAATAATTGAAAATGCAAGGACAGCATTTCAATGGTTGAGGAATGTGTGAAATTCAAAACAATTTTCAACCAATATCAATGTCAAAATGTTCAATGAGAACGCCAAGACAGTTCAATTGCGCCCAGCTAAAATTTTCAGAATTACTGCAACCATCATGAAAACAGTACAAGTATTTATAAACAATTGTCTACGCAAGATACTCAATATTCGTTGACCGGATACCATCAACAAAAGCCTACTACAGAATAAAACGAATCAGCTCCCAGTTGAAGAGAAAATTAGGAAAAGGCGTCCGGATTACATAGGTCATGCATTGCGGAAATCATCAGACCTCATCATTAAGCTAGCGCCAACTTGGAACCCTAAAGTGAAAAGGAAAAAAGGAAGACCAAGGAACACATTGTGTCGGGAATTAGAAGTAGTCTTTCGTTGTCTTGATTATTATGTTGAGCCCATATACCTCATTCTAGTAGAAAATTAGATTTTCTACTCGTTAGGATATTGCAAATATATTATTTATTTATAACAATCTACCCAATGCTCAATTTACTCGAAATTATCAAATCAAACCTTGGTAATGATACCCACAAAGTCATTCATACGATCAAATTGGAGTCAGATTCCGGGCCATTAAAGTAGAGAGCCCGTCGATAAACATCGTCTGATCCAAATAACGACAAAATAAAGGAACGGACAAATTTCAGCGATGAATAAGGAATGGAAACAACTGGTAAGGATTTTTCAGGACAGATTTCGATGGAGCATGCTGATGGACGGCTTATTCTTCTCCACGATGGGTAAGAGGAGTGAACGGGTAAGTAAGTAGGAAAGTCAGCAAGTAAGTTGGTAAGTATGTATGTAAGTAATTAGGTAAGTGGGTAAATAAGTAAGTAGGTGTGGTCGTAATTAACATGTGCGTTCAGGTTTTTTCTCCTCTTGATTTGAGCCGTTATCTTCCAGTTGCGAATCGTTTTTTATTGGCTGAATGACCTGGTCGACTTTGATAGGTAAGTTTGAAAAGCTAAACACTGTGGTAAATAGTGACAGAAGATACGGTAATTAACCGGTGTATCCCAAGTGAAACGACATAGTGAAATATGTATGACATTAAACCAAATGCGGTAATTCAGAATTATACATACAGTATCAATAATCAAAATTTCTGACGGAATTCATGAAACTGAAATGAAAACAAACATGAACAGTGAACAACAACAGAATAGTTAGAAAAATGACGCCTAATTAAAAACCGGCACGACATAAAAAAGAAAGTACACAACCGAATGAAGGAGGAACGAACAAGCAAAATACATAGAAAGACTAATATAGAATAAACAGCTAGCGAGAAATTATATAAAACCAACATCAAGCAAAGATTTGAATCAATGCTGAAAAACATCGTTCACGTGTTGAAATCCGATATGGCTGAGTGAAAGACTGTTCGACCGACAATTTCTGCAGCACCACTCAATCGACTTGACAACTTCACTCAATAGAGTGTGCTCCAGTGTGCACGTTCATTCAAAGTGTGCTATGCACAACCCCAAACCTCCAGTAACAAACCAACAACCATACTGATCACAACTACCAATGCACGCAATATTATTTCGTCGACATCACTAGGCACAGTGTGAAGTGCTTGTGTGGGTGTGTGAAGCACGACATGGGCTGTGCTTGCACACTCACTCACTAAAATTCACCAACACATACAAGCAAACACTCACCGCGTACATGCATAGTTTATGCTCATATTAGTGTCCACAGACACGCAATCACATACGCACACACACTATGTTCTGAAAGTGTGAGGTAAGTCATTTCGATAATGATTTCAAGTACACAAACGACAGGTGTTCATTCGACACATCATCAGGTGACGATCAACCGAATGAGGTGACACATATTGTGTGACATTCGTTGAATTGACCGATACACCGGACACACATGCTTTAAAAAACTGCACATATACGCAACACCGAATGCAAAGCAATAGTAGAACTCAATGATCACGATCAACGGATCGGTCTGAGAATGTGTAGATATAAATGATGCTGTCGGTTCTGACGATGCAGTGGTCACTTCCGACGGGATAAGTGTGCTGGATTCGGGGGTAGATGCTTCGGATGTGGTAGCCGTTGGAATGTCTAATGTTTATGTGCAGACAAACAAACAATGTGACGAGCAGTACACATTAATAATCGGATTATTTTTCATAGAATTTCCTGTAATTTCATCACATGATTTTTTCCAATTTCGCCTGATTCTACTTTTTCTTTCATGTTTTTCTTAAACCATTTATCAGTTGGGTTGTTATTTCATATCATTCCTTGTTCCACCTTAGACCGTTTTCCTTATTTTTTTCATTTTTTCTTCTTTTCTTGATATTTCTGTGTTGGTTGTTTCTATTCAAAACATCATTTTATTTTTCGACTAATGCAATCTACCGTTTTCTCTTATTACGTCGCATATCAGTTATCAATTGGTTTACTTAACCTTCTGTATGTTGTTCGCCATTCTAAAATCTTCTACTTTATTTTCATTGTTTCGGTTATGATGTGTGTGGATCATTGATTCTCATCAATCTATTTCACATCACATTTTTAAGTACTTCAAATAAGTTATGCTTTTGTCTATACTCTGAAATATACCAGTGCGTTTGTTAAATGGTAAGATTTAAATTGAATCATGAACTCACTATTAATTTCTAAATTAGACAATTGCACTCCAAATGATGTGTTTAGTTGACTGATACCAGAACTGATGATTTGTGTAACTGATGTTGAGTTCAGCACTGCGGCTTCAGGGGATGCAATCTGTAGGTCTGCTGTTCCCTGGACACCTTGTGTTGTATTTTGGCCTAAGCTCACATTTGTGTTTATCTGTCGCTTCTGACGGATTACCAAGTCAACCGGTATGAAGAGAACATTGACACACTTTGCATTCTCTGAGAATGATGGCTTTCCAAGTTTCAAACCTTGTAAAAGCTGTAAATGTATATAAGTAACAAATGAAATATTAAATAAATCACCGATTCTCGAAATGATTACACAAGCGAAAATGACTCATAACATTCATCTGGAACAATGATGAACGACAATTACTCCAAATCAATATTCTTTTGTGGAAATCTATGAAGAAAAATACTGTAAACATGATGTCTGAGAAATCTTCACACATTCTTCCACATCTTTTAGAGGTGACTTCAAATCCAAACTCATCATCTAACAGGTTAGAAATGCAAAAGTACGTTTTAAACTGATTGTGATTTTGTTCAACTTCACGTCCAGTTTCAATTCAATATGATGATATAATGTAATGTTTATTTTATTTTCAGTGTGGTATTTCGTTCAGAGTGATACTTATTATGTCTCAGTGTGATTCTTTTCTATATTCTTTGTGTTATTTCAGTGCTGAATTCGTTCAGTATGATGTGTAGTTCGAGTTTTTGTGATAGTTATGTGTACTTCTATTATCTGTGATATTTAGTAACTAATCATCAAGTGTGAGTAAAATCAACATATAAATGAGTCAACGCATGCATCAATTTGACTTAATTTGTGGATCAAATATATTCCTATTGATCACCTCCATGTTGCTACTTATGTCGACCGAACCACCAATTCCAATTCCAAGTACCATGTTTGCTCACGCAGTGATTTAATTCAATAGGATTATTTATTTCCAAACGTTACCTTACACCATCACACTCACCAAACTACAAAACGATGTTGCCAGACTGATGTAAGCTGTGGTGGATGTATCCGCCAAGTCAGGTGACCAATAGTGAGGTGTGCTTTCATTATCCGTATAGAGCACCGCTTTCATTTTGAATGTTGAGGCTGTATAAGTACAAAGGAAAAAGGTAAAGTTGTATTTTATTTGGATTGGGCTCTAATGACATTGAAACAACACAGATTTCGATATATTTAAACCAATAACAGAAAAACTTACCAAATTTTTAATTGTGAATTCATGCTTATTAAGTTCGATGCGATTAAACGAATTGGACTTCACAGGTAACCTAGCTCTTCCATCCGATACACAACGAAAAATGGGAGTCAAGACAATCAGTGTAACAGCAGAGTCGGCATCAATAGGCCTCAACACAAACTAGAGAAATAGCAAGATCCTCAAACATAACACAGAGAATACCTAAGGTGCCAGACTAACTGTAGGAGCTCTGGAAGAAATGAAAACTATAAAGTAGCCGATCAGATTCGTCGATGACTGAGGAGGATTTGAATGCAGATGTAAAACCACGTGTGGCAATTGAGTGGATGCATTTCTACACTTGAAGAACGCATTGAAATCAAAGTAACGATCAACCGTTATCAATGTCAGAACCTTTAATCGGATCAAGAATACAGTTAAAGTTTACGAAAAGAAATACTACATAAATACTACGACAACCAATCAATATAAAAAAGTGCTATTACGAAGAATTAATAGTAATTAAGGAAATAATTTCAGAAACACGGTCACAAAAAGCATACTCAAACTAAAAATAACACGATCACATGCCCAAACAAACGCGAACACAAACACACTGAAATCCATTGTAATAACCGCGAGTTACTACTTCATTATTTGTCTACTTGTCTTAGATTAAACATTTAATCCACTCTGTAAGTTTATGTGTGAGTGTGATTGAGCACATGTCTGCACACCGATCTTTAATCTATTCTCCTATTGGTTATAATACACAGACAATCAATAATTTATCCACAACCAATTAGTTAAAGCTCATAAATATATATAGATCTTTTAACACACACATGAACTCACACGTTTCCCTGTGTGTTGGTATTTGGCACGCATTCGGATTTTACTAATATTTACCAATAAACTACCACCACAACTGGTGTTCAGATATTTGAATAATCTCGAGTAAATCCATAATTCTACTAGGAGATTTAGACTGCGTTAAATACTCATGTAAGGGGATACTATTTATTGGAGTAAGATATAGAGGGAACTACCCTCTATAAAGTTGATGAGTCGCATTTGATACACGCATTACTCTACGACGCCTGCTGCACATTATCTAATTCTATCATAAAAAACCTCACGTTGAAATTACTATTACGTTTATTAACAATTCATTGACAACCATAACATTCATTCATATGATTATTCTTTTGGAATTATTGCTGTATATCAGCATAGTTAAACCGGAAGCGATAGTTTTTTGCGGTGAGTCTCTCATATATATTTCTTGCTGTTGCTTGTTATGTCCTCATACTGTATATTTCAATCCTCAGCTTATTGTTATTACAATTCTTATTATTTTCTTCGCATCATGTCACTTGATAGTTCACAGAGCCTTTCACCTAAGTTTATTTCCGTGGTGCCATTTCTATACCTTTGCCTGTTTTTAACAGTCGAAAGACTGAACTCTGGTTTGCACACTAAGAAATTGTTTTTGTTGTAAAGAGTCAGTGCACAGAATTTAGTTACGTAAACTCGTTGCTACCGCACAACGATACTGAACAATTGCCTGATTTCATTTTTTAGCCGTATCCAGACTCACCATACGGTTGGCTAAAAAGGGAGGTCACTTGTGTTACATCTCTCACCGACCAGCAGACAATTGATCCACTTTTAGCAAATGTACAGCTAGGTGACAACACACCGTCTAAATTAAAACACCACATGACAAATGTATTAGGGAATCGTATAGTAAATAAACGTCTTTTATATCAACTGTTGCTCACATGTCTCCTGCAAAACATCCAACAGATACTAGCGGGTGGTAGCACACACGCAAACAAACGTGACTGACGAGATTGCTGAGTTACGACAAACAGTCGACGTCTTCAATGAATAGATAACCCGGATACAATTTTTGAATACCTGCCACTGAAAGTGTAGAGGAAGGTTCAGAAGCCGTAGACGTCGTAGTTCAAGCACCACCGGACATAACATATGTTGGTGCCATAGAACGTATGGTAAACAAGCCAAAAAAGCAGTCCTCACTGTGACGTCTTAGCTAAACGGCAAGGGACACATCGAGGCCGGAGATTATTGACGACTGCTGTCGTCCGCCACAACTCTGAAGACAGTCGTTTGTTATATATCACAAACAAAAGAACTGGGACAAAGTTATTAATTGACACCAGGGCAGAGGTTGGTGTAGCACCACCCAATGCACTTGAGAAAAACACACTTGACCTGAAACTAATCCTGCAAGCTACGAATAAATCTGAGTTCAAGGCATATGATAAAAGGCAGTTTCAATAACATTTCGGTCACAAATCCAACATTTCATGGAGCTTCATATTAGCAGACATCCTTGTCCCCATAATCGGAGTTGATTTACCGCAATTCCATAAAATACAGATGTTAGAAACCAGAAATTTGTACTTGACGATCATAGTAGTGAAATTAAAGGAATTATATCTAATGAGAAGTTCATACATTTATCAATCAAACCTCGTTGCAAGAGTGACAAATACATCAATTAACTGAATCAGTTCCCGGACTTATTACGACTGAGTTTCAAACGTGACAAACCGACACACACCATCGTTTACCACATTATGACAGAGGGACCATCAGTGTTTGCACGTTCAAGATGCCTTGACCCCTCTCGTCTCGCTCTCTCAAAGAATGAATTCAACAGAATGATAAAATTGGCTATCACACTCCCCCGACAGTTCGTGGGTATAATCGCTCCATACGGTGCCTAAGAAAAACTCTTCTGTGTTTAAATCTTGTGGCGATTATAAAGCTCATAACAGCCGAACTATACCAGATAGACATCCTATTCCACAATTACATGATTACTCATAATCTATTTGATATGACGATTTCTTCAAAGGTTGATCTCGTCTGTGCCTACCATCATATTCCAATTTAACCAGACGATATTCCCAAAACAGCTATCACTAACCAATTAGGGCTATACAAATTTGTCCGTATACCTTTTAGACTAAGTAATGCTGCGCAAAGTTTCCAGAGTTTTATTGATCAAGTGATGCGTGATTTGCCGTTTGTAAATGCTTACAAAGATGTCTTACGTATTGTCAGCAAAGATGAAAGTGAACATTTAACTCAAGAAGATAAACGAGTATGGGTTAACAATCGATCCTGACAAGTGTGAGTTTGGGAAACAATCTCCCAGCTTTTTAGGTCACGTACTAGACTAACAAGGTACCAAATTAGCTCCCGAGGAAACACAAGCCATCAAAAATTATTCTCTATCCAACTGGTTCCAAAAGGTTTTGATATAGCGAGACCGCTAACCGATTTATTAAGGGGACGCGCTAACTCATTATTGATAACACCGCAAGCGATTCAAGCTTTTGAACAATTGAAAAGCGCTTTAAGCACTGAGGCGTTGTTGGTACGACGAAAAATTGACACACTTTTTTCAGTAATGACCAACGTCTGTAATGTTACAGCAGGTGCTGTTCTTCAGCAACGTGTCAATCAACAATGGAAACGCCTTGCGTTTTTCGCAAAAAGCTAACCTCGAAACAAACAAAATATAGCACGTTCGGTAGTAAACTGTTAGTTGTTTATTTAGCCATCAAACATTTCCGGTGTACATTAGAAGGCAATTCTTTTATAACATTTACTTGTCAAAAACCTCTTACTAAATCCTTGATACACAATCATGTTAAATATAGTCTGCGCAAAATCCATCAACTATAAACCATTTTGCAATTTGCATTTGACATAAAAGGCATGGAAAACGGTGTAGCAGATGCATTATCGAGATTATATATCATTATCTTTTCAATACCTGATATAAGCTATCAAGATATGGAGAAACATGAAGAGGTGGACATGGAGCAAGAGTCCGGGGAAACGAATCTGTAATGCTAAAATATCTTCATAAACGGCACGGACACCCTAGCCTTTGTTACCTCAACAGGTAAAACTCGCTCCTTTGTACCTTATGAAATGAAAAGAAACATTTTGGAGAAACTGCACATGTCTCATCTTGGTATAAAGCCACTGTAAATCTTATTACAGATAGGTTTGTATGGCCAAACATAAACAAAAATTTACGAAAATGGTCACAGAAATGCATCCAATGCCAAAAGTCGAAAGTCTACAGGCACGTCACATCTCCTATAGGAATTTTTCCCGTTCGACCAACAGTTAAAAATCCCTTTGATGGTCAAAGCGGGATATTACAAACCGGATGTTTAGCTTCCTTTGATACTACTAAACATTCGGTCAAATATGAAACAAGGCATCGATTGTTGTGCTGCTGAGTTGGTTAATAGAACGAAATTACGTTTGCCTGGTGAATTCTTTGAACGTGCAACAGATATTCGAGCATGTATAAAACAGCAGGTGTAATACATGAAGTTCGTTGAACAAAGAACCCAGAAAGTGAGATCGTTTGTACCAGTTGAATTGAACAAATGCTCATATATATTCACACACTCAGGGAGTCGCTCTTATGCTGTCCAAAGTAGCACGAAATGCACTTGTAGGATGGGAATCTCATGGATCCAGAATCATCAAAGCATCATTCAAAACAAAGAAGGAGGGGATCTTAATGAATATTATCCAATGTTATGCACCCACCAATGATAGCAACGACGAAATTAAAGATCAGTTCTACGAGCGGCTGCAGTCAATCATTGAGAAATGCCCAAGAAAGGACCTAACTATTCTGATGGGAGATCTAAATGCCAAAGTCGGAATAGACAACACTGGATATGAAGATATTATGGGACGACATGGACTGGGAGAAAGAAACGAAAATGGAGAAAGATTTGCAAATCTATGCGCATTCAACAAATTGGTCATAGGAGGCACAATATTTCCACACAAGCGTATACACAAGGCTACATGGATCTCATCGG